TGATGGCTGTGTTTTTTTAAAATATGTTGTTGTTATTCGGGGTGACACTCTGTCTGACTGTCATTGTCAGGGTACAGTCGGACAGAGTGGCAGTGTTTTAATGAGGCTTTGTTTGTGAGGCAGCAACAACAGTAGATCATCAGTGAGTGACAGGACAAGGGAAATGTTTTCCTCCGGCACATCATCAGACAGACACACAGATCAGTGGATGATCCACGGCAGGGGTCCTCGCTGAGGTTTACAGGCTGAGGACCCCTGGACTGACTCAGAGGGAGCAGGGACCACCTCCATATATATACTGCAAAAATCATTCAAAGAAATCTACCTGCACCTGGTACCGTGTGTAAATGGACCTTATTTGTATCCTATTCATATTCAAAGAAGTTTATATATTTTTATATAAACTTTGCTCTTGGACTTTATTTAATTTTGTAATTATGGGAAAATATTTATATTTTGAAAATCTCAGTTTTATGGGAATAGGGTCACACTAAAATTACAATTGCAAATGATTTTTGGACTGCAAGAGTGTGACCTCATGTTTAAAAAATCCAGACATTATTATACAAATATATGTAAATATACACACATATATATGTCTTATGTGTCTTTATAAATGTTTTTTTTCCCCAGTTTCCAACCTTCTTCAGAGGTAGGACTTTTTTCGTAATCCTGTCCTAGCCAAACCAATCAACAGCCATGGACCCTGTCCCAGAGTACTCTCACTTCCTGGTCCGCATCCTGGAGGAGCTGGACACGAAGCACAACACCATGTCCTACCAGGACCTGTGCAAGTCCATGTGTGCACGCTTTGATCTTGTTCACCTGGCCAAACTTCGCAGCCTGCTCTTCTACACGGCGTGTCTGGACCCGGCGTTCCCAGCAACACTTTTCAGGGACAAGATGCGCTCCTCCGTGGAGGACCCGCAGTCCAAGAAACTCATGGTGGCCGCTGACATTGTCACCATGTTCAACCTAATTCAGATGAACGGAGGCCTGGCCAAAGACAAGCTCCCAATAGTTCCCAGACCGAAGTTCCACAAGAACAAGTCGCTGGACGTGTGCAGGTCCGACAGCGATGCCTACAAGTACCAGGACTGTGACAGAGGAGCGGCTTACGAACACATGAATGAACACCATCACCACCACCACCACCACCATCATCATCCTCACCACTCACCCCAGCAACGCCCCATAACCCAGAATGCCCCGCCCTGTCCCAAACGATCCGAGTGCAATAACTGCCAGTCGTTCGTCCCCTCGTCCAACCCCAACTTCCTGCTGGGGGTCAACAGGGACCTGAAATGTAGAGCAGCGTCTCTGGACAAACTGCATCATCTCCCCCAGTACCACAACGGCAGTCCTCCCCCGTCTCCCTGTGAGATGCAGAGCACCTACTTTCCCATGGACCTGGACAGCGAGTCCACGACCGACCACGAGTCCCTGCAGCACCTGGGCCACCCGGAACCATTTTCAGTTCACTCCTGTGTTCAGAAGAGGAACATCTTCAAAGAAGACTTCCACAACTTTGTGGCCTTCTCACCAAAGGTAGGTTGACCTTGTAGAATGTAGAATGTCAGTCACTTTACAAAAGTTCATGTTTTTCCCATTTGTTAAATGATAAAATATTCATATTTAATGAAATATCATTTAAAGAAAACGTCACGGACATGAAGTGTTTCAAAATTAATCAAGCGGGCCGGATTGAACCCACTGGTGGGCCAATTTGGGCCACGGTCCATATGTTTGGCACCCCTGTTCTAGACGCTCCTTCCCACACCTTTAGTTTAGAATGATCAGCTGATTTTTTGGTGTTTTTTCTTTGTGTTCTAGCACAGATGTATTGACTGTTCCTACGGCGTAAACCCACTGTGATGTGAAATAATCTAAGGCTGAGGGTACAGTATGTATATATTTGCATAAATATGTGTGCATATAAAATATGTATATGCACTGTATATTTATATATATACATTTATACATGCACATATACAATATATATACATATATATTGCATATATTTATACATACATTTATATAGGCACATATACAGTATATATACATTATAGTATAAATATATATATTGTATATATTTATATATACAGGCACATACAGTATATTCATATACATAATCTTTCTGTATAGTATATATAAATACATAGATTTACAGGGATATCTATATAAATATAAATATATATATTGTTTGTTTAATAACTTCTTCTGTACAAAGAAATAGGAACAGTTCCCTCTTCCCAACAGTCTCCCATACTGCACTCTGCTCTACATTATTACATTATGCTTTTATATAATGTATATATTTATATATTGTGAGAGTGCAGTTGTTGTTGTTGGCTGCCAGGCCGTTTTCTTCTCACTGCCATCCCATCGTTCTGTAAACAGTCTGGACTCCTTGTTTTACATGTTTTATTTACACTGCAGTGAGTTCACTCTTTACTTTGTATTCTATTTTATTGCCTTCCCTCCAGGGAGTGCTGTAGAGTTCCTTCGCTCTTGTTCTTTATTTGAAGCTTAATCACTCACTTGTTGTGTTGCCGTCACAGGTCGTCACCACTGAGAGCAAACCGGTCTGTAAGGCTGCCGAGAGCTACCACAGGAGGGAGCTCCACAAACCTGCAACCTTCTTCAACCACAGCTTCGAGCTGCCTTACAGCAACCCTTACTTTGAGCCACCACTCAACTCTCCCCTCCAGGACAGGAGGAAAGCCAAGCACGAGAGCTTGGACGACCTGCAGGCGTCCACGTACTTCGGCCCCACCACGGTGTCGGAGTGTGTCAGCAGCAGGAAGCACCTCAGCAAAGTGGGGAAGCAGCAGGCGTGGCCAGTGAAGAGCCTGAGCCTGAACACAGAGGAAGGACCTCCAGACTTTGAAAGGTCATTCATCAACAACAAACCCCTCATTGAGAACCACCATCGCACCATGAGCATCGTCAGCACTGACAACGAGCAGCATTTTCAGAGTCCGAAGGAGAAGGTCAGAGCTTCTCCTTCAGGATTTGCCAAGAAACCGAACGGAGTCAAGAACAAGGACGTAGCACTGATGATGGCCGGACCTGGGAACGTGGATAAAAGAGAGGCAGCCAAACGCTTTCGGGACAAAAGTTTAAACAGTCCCTCCTTTCAGGGAGGAGACAGCTCCTCCAGCATCGGGACTCAAACGGAGCAGGCCGAGCCGAAGAAGGTGAAGGACCAGCCGCCAAAGTTCACCGACAAAGACCGAGCCAAGTTCAAACATTCTGACGAAGACCCCGAGCTCATCAGCGACGACATCAGTGACATTTTCCGTTTCTTGGACGACATGAGTGTTTGTGACTCTCTGGGCGTCGTCCAGTCCTCGAGCTACAACAGCACTGGGTCTCTGTCACAGGTAACTCTCAAATCGGAGGGCGACAGCTCCCCTGAACGCAACACGGTCAAACTGGCCAAGTCCAAGCTGGACCGCCTCTTCTCCTCACTGGAGAACACGGACGATGAGCTGAAGTCCAGCGTGTGTAAGCTGGTGATGAGGATCGGCGAGATCGAGAAGAAGCTGGAATCTCTGTCAGGAGTGCGCAGTGAGATTTCCCAGGTGCTCTCCAAGCTCAACAGGCTGGATGAGAAGATCCAGGAGCCAGAGGCCAACGGGAGGCCAACTGTGTCCGTGGGGAACGGCACCCCCGACAAGCTGCACCCCCACCAACAGCCACATCTGGACACCGGCCACCCGCCACGCACTTTTCAGTGCCACACCACCGGCCGTAACGTCAAATTGGAGAACGGTCCGCTGGGGGAGTGGTGTCTGGACGGCAGTAACAACGGCAGCCTCCGGATGAAAGCTCTGAAGAAGAGCATGCTCACCAGGAGGTCAAACCGCTCACTCAACGAGGAGACCAGCATCACCGAGTCCAAAGTCGCCAGTATCACCAACTCCCCACGAGACTGGAGGACGGTGTCCTACTCCTGCCACGCTGAGGATGAGGGCAAGGACAAAGACAGAGACAGAGACAGAGACAGCAAGGACAGACACCGCAAGGCTAAAGAGGTAAAAAAAAATCTCAATTTAATCTTTTAATGAGACAGAGATGAAGAGTGACAGATGAAGGTGGGGGTGAGGAAGAGATGATCTGCATGGAAGAGGAAAAGGAGCAGTTTACGAAATAGCAATGAACCCCGGATTAATTATCCACAGGCGATTAATCATGATTAATTGAGATTAATTGTGATTGTAATCAATCACTGTAAATCATGAATGATCAAGAAAAATCAACGTTATTTTAAGCTTGAGTTAATCCATGAAATGATAACAAATTATTGGGCACGTCACTCCAAACACACGTCAAACATCTATAACTAATTACAAATAATTAACAAGATTAATGTAAGATAAAATACTAACAAATGAAGGATTTGTAATACTTTTTAGTTTTAAGTATTTACTTCAGTAACTGTTCAAACGACTAACAAGAGGTTTTCTCTTATCACTTCACACCTTGTTTTTTAGCATTTTAAAAATGTTCCTCGTCAAACTTTTTGAAAATATATTTGATTGAAGTCTTCAAGTTTTTACATTTAAGAAAATCTTAAATTCTGTGATTGTGTGAATGAATCTATCATGTATTCACAGCCAAACCTGTGCCACGCTCCCAGGTTGATCATCCATGTTGACGTCAAATGTACTGAATATTTAACTTTAAAAACAGATTTTTTTTTTTTAATTCTGTTGAACAGATCCAGTGACGGTGATTTTAATATCCATGGGCAATGTGTTCCACAGTTAAGGGATGTAACAATACTCACTGGTACTTTAATGAGACACTAAAGTACCATTTAAGAGAAATATTGTGGAAGGTCTTAATGAGCCCGCTGCTGCAGAAGATGAGAGAACGTCTCTGGTGAAGGAGCGGAAGTCTATTTACAGGTTTATGTCGACAAATAAAGGAAATTAAAAATCAACTCTGAAAAGTACACACACAGTTTGTCATGTTTTCACAGTAAAACTCTGAAGTTGTGTTAGTCTAATAGACCGTCTGGTACTGCAGTAAATAAGGTAATCCCAGTAGTCAGAATGGCTGGTGATAAAATGTAAATGTTGGTGACTAGCATTCAGGGAAAAAAACGTAAAATGTAAGAAAATGACTTTGAATTAAAATACCTGTTAATTGAGCTCTTAAAGCGACATAGTTTAATAAAACTACGTCTTATAATTTACTTCTTCCACCCAAAGAGTTCAAAACTAGGGGTGTCCGATAATATCGGCAGAAATAGTCTAAAAATAGCTTTGGGGATAAACAGCTGTATATTAAAGTGAAATTCACTAGATGGCAGCATTGCAGCTCATTTTATTAATCTATTTTAAAAATCAGGGGATTGTATGCAGAATGTTGGTGCCAACTCATAAATAAATATATATTACCAGGCCTGTATTGGTTGATAATCGGCTAAAAGTTAATACACAGATTATATTACCAGGCCTATATTGGTTGATAATCGGCAAAAAGTTAATACACAGACATTCCTATTTAAAACGCTTCTGTATATGAATGAATATCAGGACAGTAATGAATACCCTGGTGGGGAGAAATCGGCAGCATGTGAGCGAGCCACAGACACTTTCTTCTTCTTCTTCTTCTTCTTCTATGAAGTGCTGACACTCGATAAGTCACTAATGTCCCGATTCGAGCAAACGCTGTATAATCGCTGAGGTGCAGCCAACTAATAACCCAGGCTGCTGACTGGGTCTGAGCTCCAGTCACATTACACACACACACATAAATGATGTTACTGTGGTTGCAATTGATGGCGGTTGCTCATAGGTAGCATGGGATTCGGCCAATCAATACACAGAGTGTCTAGGAATTTTTTTTTTTTTTAACGCTCATCTTGTGGCTGCTGTTATTCCAATCTGCTCCCTGGAAATGAATATAAGACAAAGAAAAAACCTGAAATATTGATTACACTTGTCAATAACATTGTGTAACACTGTGTCGCGTCTTTCTGTGCCGTAAACTCTGTAGTGCATCCGAAGTTGTGATTTTTTTATAAACTAAAATTTTTATAAACTAAATTAAGTTGAGAATTTTACCCCACCAGTAGCTGCTACATTTTTCCTGCAGCAACCCCCGGTTTTTAGATTAGACCAGGCGTGGGTAAACCTTTTGACTCTCGGGAAACAATTGTCCTCAAAGGGACAGGGGTGCCGGGTGAGGAGCAGAGAGATGGAGTGTGAACTAAGATAAATGACATGTAAAAGTCTTGCATAAACGCTAAAATGCTTTTATCATTTTCTACACCATCTATTGGTGAAACGTGGTTATTGCAGGGGAAAAACAACGACGGACGACCATGTCTTAAAGCAGTAAGTTCACATGAGTCCTAGCTAACTGACTCAACCTTCACCTGACTCTATTTTTGTTTCCATTTCCAGGCGGAGCGGGAACGTCAGTATGAGCTCCCCCAGGCGCACCTGCCACCCAACAACCACCCGCCATTGATTGAGCAGGTTTTTTCCCAGCACCCCTTCAGCCCCTCCGTTAAGGCTCATGTGAAAGGCAGTCATCTGTACACCGACCTGAGGCTCACCACCCTGTCGGACCCCAAGCGTGGGCAGCCGTCCTGGACCATCGAGGAGTACAAACGCAACTCAGGAGAGAAGGGGAAGCAGTTCACAGCTCTGGAGCTGCAGGTACAACAATCAGAACAGTTTGTACCAGTACCAACACAAAGTTTTGCACACTTACCTACACACACCTTCAGTTTACACTTAAGTACTGTAAATAAAGGGATTTTTTATTCATTCCTATTCATCATTGAATCCCATCTATTTTGAACCCACAGGTGGTGTGCGACCCACTGGGCCACATTGGTTTTAGCCAAACGATGCTGCTTCTTTTGTTTGGGAAGGGAACATGGGAAGTTGACATGGACCACTTTAAGAACTGTGGTTCTCAAAGTGGGGGTGTGGGGCTGTAAGAGAAAGGGGTTTGGACCAATGAATATAAATTTGATTTTAGTTTTGCCACGGTGATGAAATTTCATGATTTATAAATTGATTCCCTTCGTAGGAATAACAGTATTTGAAGTATTGCTCAGTGTAAAGTTTCAATGTGTCAAAGTGTGACGGGGCGGGGGGCTCAGTAATAGTCGTATCGACAAAAGGGAGGGGCTGATTGAAAACCCCTGGGCTACAGTAACACAGAGCTGTGGTGGTAGAAAATAGGTGGATATTCTGATTGAAGTACTTAATTGTACTGAATACTGAAACGTTCTGTTCTGTGCATCCACGAGCTGTGGTGGTAGAAAATAGGTGGATGTTCTGATTGAAGTACTTTCTTGTACTGAATACTGAAACGATCTGTTCTGTTCTGTGCATCCATAGAACTGTGTTTGTCTTCAGTGAAAAAGATCTACATTCAGGAAACCAATTACTGGTCAGATAACTACAACCACAGTGCAAAAGGTTTGACCACTTGGTGATCAGAAGGCAGGTTCACTGTCCTTCAGAACTCAGTACTGACCTCCGGTGTACTGAAGGAACATCTCTCTGGTCTTTTGGTGGTAACCTCATCTCTGTTAGTCTTTTTTTTAGTCCTGGTTTCGTTGAAACTGAAACTGCCCCATATTTTATGTATGAGTAGATGACCAGTGTAAAACCCTCGCCCCAGGTATTGATCCCTGTGAGTAATCTGTAGACAGACAGGATATCCCTGTGAGTAATCTGTAGACAGACATCCTGTCCCTTACGTGTGATTTGCATGCAACAGCTCCAGCACAGGACTGAAACGTATGGTCACCGTCAGAGTCACCGGAGACTTACGATCAATTTCTCTCACTGAGGGCAACAGAAATGCATCAGAGCCCCTCGGTTCTTCTTCAAATGTCCTTTAAGTCCGATCAATGGCTGGAGGAGATCTTTCACCTCATCGCTCAGCTGACAAAACAGCCATTTCTACTGGGAGATTGTTGGAACATTTGTCTTGGCTCCTGGTTTAAGGCCCTGTGAAGAACACTGATACCATCTCAGTTCTTTTATAGTCACAAGACCGATGACGTCCAGGGGCCGCATTTATACCAACGGAAATGCGTGTGAAGTGTAACTTATAAACATGTTCGAGAAAGTCGTACAAATTACAAATTACCGGCCATGTTTGATTGTCACAGTAATACGGGACAAAGTGTGTCCCTTTTCGGGTCAACACAGCATATTTTTGTTTCTAAATACGTGAACGTTTTTTTAAGGGAGTTGGAATGTCACTGTCAAACCTGTGGTGAATGGTTTTCTTCCATCAACACACCTCAGCTGTGCTGTTAAGGTCGAGAAAGGAGTTAGAAAGATGAATTATTGGAGTTCCTGAGTGACTCATGAAAGTACGTGTGGCTGTGTTTTTGTTCCTGTTGAATGCCAGATGAATGCATCAGAAGACGTTTTGCCTTTAGCAGTATTTTGTCTTCACTTATGGTAAAGACATGTTAATACATTTGCATGTAAATTCAATACATTTAAGTATTTTAATGCCAGGACTTTTCTGTGTAGAAACACTATAGCCATATGGCTAGTCCTCTCATATAGGCCAATAATGGAGTAATTGGTGCCAGCTTACGATCGGGAGGAAGGTAATGATGTGGAGACAGAAAGATAAGAGGGGAGCAGCAGAGAGAGGCAGGATATTTGGCTAAAGAGTCAAACTCCAGGGGGATAAATATAGCACAAAACATTTCAAAGGCACTGTGTATCTGACAACTGCACACTTCGCTTCTTACTTTGACCCTGATAGAAAGCCACCGGGGTTTTCTGTTTCCAAAAGCTTCTATCGGATTTCAAAAATCTCCCAATGAAGTATACTCATATGATTGTGTTACACTAGTATACTGAAGGTAAACAGATCAATGCTAGATTGATGTGATAAATGTCCAATATGAAACAGTTTACAGACGGAGGAGCTTAGTGTGCTCCATGGGATTAGACAGCAGAAGTATTTAAAAAATTGTCAGAATTACAACCACAACCTGATTATCTGTGAATTACTGTAACACCACTATTTTTTTCCCCTATCTGATGATGTGAGGGGTTGAGTTTCCCGTTTTGAAAAACGAGTATATTTGTAAAGCACCAGTCTTGAGACACCTGGATGTGTCATTTGTTATTTTCTGAGTGGAAAAGGTTCAATAAAAGCGGGCTGGTCTGGGGAGCCGAGTGAATTGCCTGAGCTTATTTTTAGATCATCATTCACTGCTCAGTCTGTGGTTTCCCCTCTAAATGTAAACACCCCTGCTCTCTGACCTCATGTCGGCTTTGATACACCACTGTTTTATCAGCGCTTCTGTTTATCACGACCACTCTCTGCATTCCTCTGTGTTCTGCCATCACATTGGTCCAGTACTACTGGGTCCAATACTGTACAGTAGGTTGCTTAGACTGTAGTGCTAAGTACTGCAACAGGCTGAAGTTTCGTAATATAGTCACAACCATGTGGGATTGTTTTGTCAAATGTAGACCATGGTTGAGACAGATTATTTATATTTAGAATAAGCACACATAATCTCTACGAAAAACGAGAGATTAATTTAAACACATTAAAATGAACAGATTAGTGAAAACTCACTAAAATTACAGCTATTAGTGAACATTTAAAATCTTTTTTTGCTCTGTTGTAGCTGACATTAGATCTGGTGTCTAGACCCGGACGGTTCTAGCTAACTGTTAGTGCCAACTTGTGTTGCATTACTGCCACCTACTGGGCTGGTTTTTTTAGCAGTTTTTGGTTTGTCCTTTTCTCTGTCTGCAGCTTTCTCTCTCTCTCTCTCTCTCGCTCTCTCAATTCTTATTATGCAACAGAAAATATCAATATGCTGTAAAGGTAAAGTCGCTACAATGAGGAATGTTTTTCCTTCAATGTATTCGGCAAAGCCAATACAGTGGAGATTGGAAAACAAAATCAATCTTTGCTGCGGAGTCAGTTATTTTTCTTTGGGTTTCTTTTTTGTTGTGTAGAGCCCTGGAGGGAGTGGGAGTGGGGAAGTGGTGTCATACACATTTATAATGTGTGCATTTTTTCCTATGACACTTGGAGATTACTTTGACAGTATTCAGCCTGGCCAAATATTTTAAGTTCCGTGATCAGTCACTTTGGCCTTGAGGTTGTGGACTGTTGTTTAAGTTCTACTTCCTGTTCTGACTCTTTCTAGTTAGTAGGAAAGAATCTTAACTAAATCCCTAACTTTTTGTACTACACTAATTGAGAGGAGAAGAAAATGAATTGCACAGCATCCACATTTCACAGTGATCATGTAGCAATGTAGGGACGATAACTGCTAAAGGCAAAGCAATCAAAGACATGATGAAAGAAGGAAAGTAATAAACTCTAGAACAATAACATCTTCTGCGACACACACTGACTATCTCATTTTCATTATCGCATTCATTGGACTTAGTTATTTTTTTGAAAGGATCTACTAATATGTCTGTAAGGAAGTCACAACTGGCTCCGACTCGGTCTTCAGTTTTCTTTTTATAGGCACACTAACACAAGTACACCCAATAAATAAATATCAGCTTAATGGCCCTGCAAGAAGAACATCATGCTATAATTTTCCTGCCTGGGAAAACGACATCTTTCTGTGCATAATTCTTGTCTACTCCATTTTTTTCAGGGCCAGGAATCCCTTAACCCCAACAACCTGGAGTACTGGATGGAGGACATCTACACACCAGGCTACGACTCTTTGCTCAAAAGGAAGGAGGCTGCATTCAGGCGAGCTAAGGTGTGTAAGATCGGGGCACTGATCGCAGCAGCTACCTGCACCGTGATCTTGGTCATCGTGGTTCCCATTTGCACCATGAAATCATGAGGCTTGACAGGATGGAGTTGATTGATAAACATTTGCTTCCTCTTCTTGTGTTTGCGAGTAAGGGTTGGTGCGACTGATTCACAGAGACTAAACGGAACCTTATTTCTTGATGTTTTTGTTTTTACTGCTATATTAAATTCTGGTGGTCTGTCTCACCAGTACAAAATAGTTAGAAAAATGATTGTACCATAGAAAAAAATCTGCAAGTGTAAAATATAACATATTGTATAAATGTTGTTGTCACAAAATGTGTAAACCAGACAGAATCTCATTGGTTTGTTTGTGTAATAAAAAAACACATTAGCTTGATGATCACCGAACTGGATTTGTTGATGTAGACAATATACATTTTTATTTTCCTGAAATTTATTGCACAGTGGACTTTGACCAGATTTATTTTTTAAAGAATTATATTATGGTTGAATGTGAGAATTTTATCTACTGTATATCAGTCACAGCAAAGATTTTACGTAATACAATTTGTGCAATTTTTTTTTAATAGAAATGTATTAAAGTGCAGACAGAATATGGGCACACAGCTAACTTGAATGTATTTGTAACATTGTACCACTGAAGCTATGAACTAAGAACAATTTACTTGAATGTTGTTTTTATTTCTCTCACAATTCCCCTGAAAAACAACAACCAAGTCATAACTGTTTCTCCATGGTCAAATAACGAGTGTCTTGTCAAACAGTGCTGCTATCAATATTTGCATTATTTTTATTCTAACTGTGCTTGTGTTTTCAATTTTTTGAACGATCCTATCACGATTAATAAAGCTAACAGAGCGATGGAATTAAATTTGAGGTTGCAGTGTGTTTGTGTGTGATATCTGGTGAACATTGCAGACAGTAGTCAGTGTTTATACGTCGACGTACTTTCGTCATATATTTGGACAACGAAAACCTAAAAGAAAATTACGTTGGTGCTGAGCGACAATGACGACATTTATTGACACATAAGTCAACTAATAAAAACAAGACAAAAATCTCCTTAGCGTTGATTTCGTCTTATTGACCGGTAGAACGAATGAGGCTGAGAGCCAATCAGAGCTACGATGTTGATAAAAGGCGGGCCATTTAAACGGCAATCTGTGCAAATGTTTGTTCTATGTAAACGGGAGCAGGACTACTCTATTTGTGAAACAGCGTGACCAAATCATGTCTGGTAGGACAAATATTTGTACTATTTCATACTTTTCTATTTTACTGATAATATGAGAGAAAACGGGACTAGGTGTAAAGTGTATAGAACGACTGTTTGAGAAAAGAAGACGACAAATTTGCGGACGTCATCCTGACATTCACAAAACGGTAGAGAATAAGGCATTGACATACATTAACATATTAAGTGTTCGGAATAGAAGGTCAAATTTGTCACTGCCATATTTTAATACTACTATATATGCCTCTGAATTCGTTAATAAATAATATGATTCTGTATAATTTGTTGTACCGGTAATATAATTTAATAACATGATATGAGCAAGTAAAGAGTTCATAACCACGGAAATATTACGCGTTGTATTTCGGAGTGATTTAAAAATAAGATAAAATAAGTTAAATAAAACCTTTTTAATATTTGGTCGACAAAAAACCGTCTATGTCTGCGTAGATCCGTATAGATGTATGTGACGTCATCACGCAAAAACGATGATGGAATGGTTAAGCTAGCAGATTTACGATTCCAGGGACCAAGGCATGAGACCATTTATAGCCAGTTTTCTATTCCTCATCCTTAATCTCAGGGCCACATTGAACCACACAAGCATTCTTTACCTTTTATGATTCAACGTCAACAATCAACGTAGTTCTGAATGTTTTACACCAGGGATTGAACTATTGGGCTAATGATATTCTTGCTGTACGACAAGAACAACTCTGCCACCTGTGGCCGAAAACAGCAGTACGAGACAGTAAACAACACACCTGTAGAACTCGTGATATATTTAGTCACCGCCATTTAAAAACAGCTCAAAACAATGAGGAAGGAAGAGAGTGTCAGACATGATTACACTAAACGCAGCCTTTGTATTGTGTGTCTTTGTCAGAGGAGTGCCTACAGAGGTTTGCTCTGTTTCCCAACACATTGTTAATTAAGGAACAGATGGGACTTGTTCTGCTGATGAACCACAACTTGTTTAAACATGAGATAATGGAGACACGTTATATTTACTCTAGGTGGCAATATTTACAGAGACGACACAGCAAATTCACCAAGGTGTAGTCAGGCATTTTTTGTTGCTTACTGCTTACTAAATAATCACTGTGCTTTATATAAGCATTTTAACAAGGACTCTCCTTTTTCCAGTATTTTTCTTTCTGATGTGGATAAACTGTGTAAAATAATTTACAATCTTTAGCATACATGATACAAAAGAAGCGCAATTCTCAATCAGGGGTTTCCGGACCTTTCGTTGACAGTGGTTTCTGATGTAATGTAGTGTCTTCATTGTGGTTTGGGTTGAGCTCACAAACACACACAAGATGCTATCATTGTATCCAGTTCATTGTATAATTATTGATACCTAATGTGAAGAAGTATCAGTCATGGTACTCCATATCAGGGAGGACTCATACAGAAAAATGGTACCAGGACCAATGTAGTACATTATATGTATAAATCATACACAATTTTAAATAATGTATTCATTGTTGCAGTATCCCAACATCCATCTGTCCTGAATGGTTAAATAAAGTTGGATTTACAGCACTTAAACATGGCCCTTCAGTTGTAGACCTAAACTATACCCATACCTCATACACTGTACTGCATAGAGACTGGGACTCTGACAGAGACAGAATCTGTGTATGTTCTCTGCTGTCTTCTGCTGTCACACAGTGAATGTGGCTGTAGCTCAGTTTTTGTCAGAGTCTGTAAATAGCTTCAGGTCTGAGGTATATTGTGGGAGCAGGTGTTAGCTGGAGGTAAGCTGTAATAAAAACGTGTTTTGGCCAATAATGAGTAGATGAGCATTTTAATGTTGTCTATTACTGTTTACCTGCTGTGTGCGAAGGTGTTTTATTTTGGAAGAGTTGTAGCATTTTAAATCACATTTTTTCACACCGAAAATAATTTCTTTTAATTAACTGTGGTTAATATTCAAGAAGAGCATGGGTGGGCAATTTATCACCAATGTTAATTAGCCTTTCCTCTCTTGGTTTTTTATTACATCTTAATATAGCCTACCTGAGATTTAACCATTATTAGTTGTTTCAGCTCTCATTTTTTATAAGAAAAAGAACTCTTTCCAGTTCATATTGTTTTATATTCTTTGGTTGTTTAATATATTGTTGTATTAATATATAATTAGCCAGGTTAATAAGACCAGACCAGTTTAACTTTTAATAAGAGGAGATCAATGCTGATATGCAGTGTTTCTAGAAAGAAATATGCAATTTTTTTTAAAAAAACTGTGTAATTCAAGTTAACAATTTCTTTAACATAATTGTTTATTAGGTTCACAGACCATTTCAGTTGGTAATTAAATTTCCATAGTTCTTAAAAATGTAATTGTTCTTACAAATCTTGAAGGGTGACTAAACCAAACAGCAGGGCTAAATGTTAAACATAAGGCTATATGTGCTACATGGGCAAACGTTCTATAATATAGTCTGCAGCCAAGACTGTAAAGTGCTGTAAACTGACATGGAAATATGTGTTAATTTTCTCTTTGCTGCCGAGACCAAAACATCCAGAGATGCAGCAGTAACTAAAAGCGTCAACAAAGTGACCTGACATGGCACAGACAGCTATTGCAATTACACTAACAGTTGACATTCTCCTCTAATCACCTACATGACATCTATCACTCTATCACAGTAATAGGTTTGAACTTCAAACGTTAGTGTGAGCCAATCAATTCAAAAATTAATTACAAGCTTGTTTCCTTTAGTCTCATTACCGGGATGCTTGCTGACCCCTTCAAAACGTTATTGTTAATTAAAAACATACTCCTGCCATCAGGGCTTAGATTTTATCTATGCACAGGTACTGTAAGAGCTGTCTTTTCATCGTGTGCTGAACACCGTTCCCTGCTCTCCAATTTAGTTTCATTTCAGGTTACACTTGTTCGTTTCTGGGGCAGCTGTGGCCACGTCTGTCCAGCCCAGTGCTCTACATTGCCTAAATACTGACACGAAAAGTAGGACACAGATAGAATGCAGAGATGAAATTGGGTTCTGTCGTCTCCAAAAATTAGATTTCTTTCAAAAGTTTTAAAGTCTTATTACTTCAATTATGAAATAGCTGTGACCATAAAATATTAATTTCCTTATGTTTTGTTGTTATGGTAAATTTTAGGTTACGTTATGTAGTGCAATGTAATGTAAGCTAGAGTTAGATAAAGTCAGAAAGACTATTTCTGACTTTGTCAATATGACAAATACAATAAGATAAAGAATATGATAGGATGCGATGAAGACTTACACAGATAAATAAAAAATATTATTTACAGTTAGGTCAGAAAGACTATAATACGACAAGGTAACATACAACTATAAAAGAAAATGAGAATGAAAGATTTTAAGATAACACTTAAGTTAAGGTCAGACAAGGTATAGATAGGTTAGGTAACATAATGTAACCTAATGTAAGGGAATGTATACAATGTAAATAACACTTAAGTTAAGGTCAGACAAGGCATAGTTAGGTTAGGTAACATAATGTAAAGGAATGTATACAATGTAGTTAAGGTAACAAAGTTACAAAAAGTCATATAACAATACATTGATACTTTCTTTCTTTTCTTTCTTCACAGGGACACTGTAAAACACTGTTTGTGTCTGTGGAAGAAGTTCTTCCCCCGTTCTGTTTCAACACCTGAACCTGACATTTGGGTTTCATAGTAGGTCACACCCAACATTTTAGACGCATACTGTCGCCTACTATACTAGACTGTGTAGTCTCATGGTTTGACCAGTGGCTTTTTGAGATACACATTTGTGATAATGCAGCCTACTCCTTGGTGCATGATTTTTTTTTTAATTCAACCGATGCGAACTGTCATGTTTTTAATTGATTTACGAATCATTGTTATATCCCTACACTATAAAATATGATACAATGCAATATGACAAGATACCATTACATAAAAGTTGAGGTAAGGTAAAGTAAGATGAAGTCCAAAAGAATGAGATCATTGATGAGGTAAGGTCAGGTAACACTGCTGAGACACTCTTTAGGACAACGTCATTATGGAAGCACACAGACTGTATTCACTGACAGATTGCCTGACGGTGATGTATGTTGCTTTGACTCACAGACCTGTTCAGCTGCCAAAACAAGACATGCTTCAGTCACAGGCACAAAAAACAAGACATGCTTCAGTCACAGGCAGTTACAGGGCTGACATTTTATGACAATACATAACCAGAAGTGATAGAAATGTCGGGACCAATGGGCTGTGGCCCCTCCCCTGCAGCTGTCACATCAGTCACATCAGAGTTTTCATCACAGTGGATGTAATGAGAAATGCTACAGGTTCTTTAATGGCCAATGAAAACAGGCTGTTACCACAGACAGGCTAGAGCTGACGCGCTGACCAGAATATCAAAACGTCTCTCCACACAGAAATTGCCCACGCTTCGTTATGGAGAGCAACTTGTTCAGTGACCTGCAGTCACCCCTTCACTCAAACCTCTGTAGTTCATGACACACCACAGTCTCAGGGCAATGTGTCCACCTTCCTGGTGTCTCTGTCTGTGTACTCAGTGCCTGAGCAGATAAAGGAGGAAAACAACGAGAAGACAAAGAAGATGATAAGATGGTGGACATAAATGAGAAGATTAAGATGAGGAAAGATAATAAAAAGTACATGAAGATGAAGAAAAAGCAGCTTTATTTGTTATTGTACACATCCTGAAAGTTGTCTCTGTCAAAATAATGAAACTTTCTTCTATGGGATTGAACATTCTTTGGTGTCAGTCCATCTCAACAATTTCTATTTTAACTACAGCCACCCACATGCAGAGCTATTCAGATTAGTGCTACACAGAGGATTTAAGACACAAAGGATTGAAGAAGTTAAGCCTCCTCCTCCTTATACGTATTTCCAGAAATAAGCCTGGGTGTGTTTACAGCAAACAAAGACGATGACAGTCCAGTCTTGTTCACCAGCCAGATTTAACCGGATGGTAAAATGTCACCGTGACGCTTAAACTTGTCCACAAGTTGCCTCAAAACCTGATTAATGAGCAGTTGAATAAAAATGTAATACCAAATTGAATGTGCTGCTGAATCATGCCTCCACTGCAGCAAATTAATATTTAAATGAGTGTTATTTTGTCTGCAGCACTGATGTGACCTTTCAAACCAAATGTTGACCTGTGAAGGAGAAATAATGACATTGTCAACTGTGGAAATCTGAGTCACAGCCTGATGTGTTGTTTATGAATTTAATGGTGTAAAATCATGCAAAAGATTTATACTGTATAGGTACATGTATGTGTGTATTTTGAATGTTATATAATGAATATTATGGTATGGATTACGTATATATGTATATGTAATAGTTAAGGTTACAGTAAGAGACTAGAGATGTCAGTGTGAAGTTCCCACAAATCATAAAAACCAGTGTGTGTGTGTGCCGTGGAGTCTGTTGTTCAGTTTGCAGATATAAATGCTCAGTGTTTTGGTTTTTCTAATCTGAAAACAATAGTAAATGTCATATCAGCAACCACATCCATTTAAATGAGTAAGTTTGACATTTCAATCTTAAGTAGTAAGTGTGGAAAAATAAACAACCTGGGATAAGAAAAATACATTTACAAGGTCAATTAGCAGGAGTTGACTTGAACAAACATCAACAAGTATAAAAAATGTTTCCTTGAAACCGAGGAAATAACTTAAAACAATCTTTTGTATTTTCAACAGGCCTGCTGTCATTCTGTTGGAAGCAGTGCTTTACCTTGCCACGCCACCAGGGGGTGAGCATCAGCATCTCTAATTGCCATCTTTCAGAACGGTAATATTCCACTGCAACATCAACACAATTAAAGCAAAATGTACTGCAGAGCAGAGTAATCATGCTAATCCTTCAGTCTGAACACTTCAGACTATTTTTACCAGGTGTAACGTGTTTTTTTTAAAAGGGCAGGATAAATATAGCAAGCGCCAGACCAGACGATTGGACTTTAAAACTGAAGTTATGCTCATTAGGGTGATGGGGTGAATAATTTAAGAACCCGGGTGCAGGTGTTTCTGGCTCCTGTGTCATTTGGCTGTTGCTATGGTCTCGTAATAAGAGAGGTAGAATAAAAACTGAAGCAGAAGCAGGTCGGGGTTACATACCGTATACTCACACTGGGACACAGAAGGCTACTCTCAGACACAGCATCAATTATTTGACTTGGCATTGCATATGGTATAGAATGATAACAGTCGCTGTTAATAGGATTCCCTTGCTACGCAGAAGGTTCTGGTTCGATCCCACATTGTCCTAATTCCAGGTTGTGTTTGAATCAGTGGCGCCCCCTGACTTGTTCGTTATTCTTCGTTGTATTCGGATAGACTGCCAACAGTAAAGAGCTGCTAATGTCAAATCAGAAAAAAAAGTCTTAGCATTAACAGAGCACACGTTTAAGAACAATGTACGTCACTAGTCTAATTGCCTCTATAACCAAAATCTAACCCTGGGATGGAAAAATGTCAGCAGAGATGTACCACATACAGTATGTTGGACTGTTTACCTACTGATGTACTTTACTGAAATTACCCTGGGGTGTCTGTGAGATTTGAAGATTTGGTGGTGGATGGATGGATGGTTGGATGGATGGATGGATGGATTGTAGTATCAGTCTACCTGGTTTGTCACCTTACATGTAATCCAAGGCAATGTCAAAGTCACAGCTATGTGTTTGGTGAGCAGATGCATCTGCTACGACCATTTAGCATTGACATTACATTGACTAAAATTGCCTAATTAGGAAGTGATACCCATCGTTCATAAGCCGTTAATTACAAAGCTCACAGAGCTGGATAATAGATGAAACTTTAATTATGTATAAATTCTAATAGAGAGATTATTACACGAGGAAAGACAATATCTGGGGACAAGGGTCAACTTCATTAACTCTGCTGCATCAGGTTTCATGTTGGACTTAAAGGGGGATTTTTCTTCTTCATGAGATACCTCAGCTCCAAATGACATCATATTTTGTCATGATACTTATGAACAAAGGAGAATGTTTATCACACAGGACCAACTCTCTTTTATTCATTGATATAATTCTGCCTAATACTTTAAGACACTGGTTTCCAACCAATGCACATTAGTGTGTCATTGGGTGTATGGTGGAAATGTATGCAATTTCTCCTCATTGGTCAAAAAAATATAATTAACTGTCTTCATTTGTCTATGCGATAGTGACAGGCAGAACAATTATATACTCCTTCACTATTACCCAAGAAATATTATAACTGAAATTACACATAAAGCTAATTAAGAATGAACAATTAACCAAATGTTTTTGTACTTTAGGAGGAAGTACCAGGAGGAAAATTATACAAACAGGCAGAACGTGGACACGCCATAAAGTCCTGGGATCAAACCAGAGATGGGGGATCTTCTTGATGTAAGGTAAGAGCACCAACCACTTTTCCACCGTGTGGTCGTACACATTTTTGACCACCACGATAACTCATTATAATCACTGACAAAATCGTTTCTATGCATTTTCTCTTCTTCTGTAGATATGTGTCATGTGTCAATGTCCAAACTACATACATAAACTGTACAGTATATGAAAACTACACACAAAATAGCTTTAATTCAGGTTCCTTGTCGGTAAATCCTCTTTATAGAGACGACCCAAAGTGAAATACTGAAACCCTGCTACTTACACCATTCAGCTGAAACTCCATTTACTCTGCAGAAGATGGTAGTTTTGACCCAGATAACAGTGTCTGCAACAAAAGGCTTAAAAAATTCACTGCTGTTCCTAGTGGTTAATTCATCACCATGTAACACTCCCAGACTGATAAAGCGCAGGTGAAAATATCATTAAATTGTACTAAAAACTCAGAGAGACATAACAAAACTTGACTAATATTTTTACTAAATAGAATGTAGCTGTTTTTCATTTTAGTTTCCATGCAAAGATATGTAGATTGTATGTTTCAAATAAATGCTGGAGACGATGGTTCAAAAATGACTCACTGCTATTGCCCTACATATGAGTATAGTCAGGTCATCCAGGCTAGACAAGCTGACACTGATCAGGTGATCCACGTCAGGCAGAGACCACTGTTTTCTGGCAGAATAAACAGATCTTGGGCAAAAATCAAATTGAGCAACAGGACCTGGAGCGTGAACTTGGTCTAAAGTGTGTTGTGAAAACTCATTTCCTCATTTACAGCAGCAATTTCCCCTTGTGGTAAGCCGTCTGAGGAAAGCTAACAACCATAGATCATATGGAAACTCGACAGTTATACAGAAAAGATAATAATTTTCAGCCTTTTACTGCCTGCTCCGTCGCTTGTTCTCCATCTGTCTTCAGCCTTTTGAAGCTGCGATCTAATTTTCACTTCTCTACACAGAAAGGGAGCAGAAAAAGGAGCCCAGAATACAGAGCATTATTAATCCTAAAATCCCCTTTGTTCCAATACAGTGTGTACCAGGGAATTCACAGAATGAATGTTTAGCTGACAATTCAACAGACGACTCCACTATATAATAATATCTCATATTGGTTGTTATTTTTAGAGTGTGAATCATAGATTTCTTTTTTTACTACACAAAATGCTGCGAGGCATTTTAAAGCCCAACCTCCACCACACACTCAGTGTGTGTTAACATGGGATCTGTGAAGGCTCCAGTCACCCAGCACAGAAAGTGTTTTAGTGACACAGACCCTGGACCCTGTAGCCAGCTCGGTGCCCCAGGTATTGATTGTTATTTGTTGTCATTGTTTCCTGAGGGTTTACAGCAGAGGTCTGCAACCCATGGCTCTTGAGGCAATTTTACTCATCAAAATTATCAGCTTGCTTGCTAAGATCAGGACTAAACTTTTTAGGTGGAGCACTAACGTTGACTTCAGGTCTGCGGGTGACTACAGCTAGTGTGTCATAACCATTACTGAATGACACTCATGGAAATCTTCAACAGATAAGTTTCTCTTTGTTAGTTTTTATCGCCATTTGCTGCCACCTAGTGTAGCATTTCATTGCCATACCTATCAAGTAAATAGATAATAGTTTTAAGAAATTGGATAATTTTCCACGGCACAGTGGTTGGGAATCACTGCTTTAGACAGCAGCCTCTGTGACCGCTTTGAATAGTGCGTAAGATAACTCACATTAGTACCTCGTTATAATCCCTTAGTGCTACACACAAAGATAAGAACAAATTCTGAATGAGGACTGAGGGGAAAATTACAAGAGAAAAAAAACAACTAATGATACTGTGAAGTGAGACATAAACGGTTGATGGAGCCGGAGCTAAAGTGAGACAAAGAGAGAAGCCGAGATACAGAGGAACAGTGAGAGTGAGACTTGTTATATTTACGCTCTGCTGCCATTTTTATCCAGCTTCATCTTAATGCTCCAGTAGCCGCTGCTGAATGATGGCGCTCCATCTTTATTCACATCTCCTGTCACTGATTTGGTCCTGCTACTTGCTGAGCTGCAGCCACACACACACACACACACTTCTTAATCAAAAAGGTTATGACCTTTCAAAACCATAAGGGCTTCCAGTGGGTGGTTGCTTTTATCAGCACCATGGCCACACAGACAGTCACCTAGATCGCCATCTGCTGGAAGGAGAAGTATATTAATCAATATTGACCTGAGGTTGAAGCGTCAGTGAAACCAAAACCTTTCTCAGAGTGTGTGTAAATGACAAGATATTGACTGTGTATCAGAGCAAAGAGAAGTGAATGAAACCTCCAACCCTGTTTGGCTCCACCAACAACCAACACTGTTACCAGTTTTAACTTGTTTTTCACACAAAGACTGAAAAATGCCCAACTACTCTAGTTTTTGCTTAATTGTAAAAAAAAAACTACCTTGTGTATATTAATGTGATTAATGTGACAATGGGGTTAAAGTAATTACAGTTGGATTTATATTAAATTTATTCAAATTTATATTGTGCTTTGACATGCTTTTTTTTTTAATATCACCTGGCAAAGTTAATGAAACCAGTTCTGTGACTGACAGGCAGATCGATATGCTGTCAGTGCTAACTAACGCCTAAAAGGAAAAAAAAAAACATTTTTTTCACTGCTTCTGTGCTCGGAGAAGTGACTGAAAGAATGAGATCATGAAAAGAAGAAGCAGCTGAGGGGAGTTTGCTCTGTGACTCACCCTCAGACAGAGTGAGGAGCCTACACACAACTCACACTGCAGCCTCCAGAGGTGCACAGCCGACACATACGGTAATTAACTTCACAGAGCATTCTATATACGACCCTGTGCGGAACATTAAACCTCCACCAAAATAACGCAATGCTGTGAAACAGGATTTCACAAATGTCATAAAAATGTGTTTAGTTTTTCTCACATAATGAAAGACAAAGTGAATGGAGGATATTCAGTGGGCGAGGATGTTTCAAGACACGTTTCTGGCCCCAAGGTAAAAGCAGTCTAAAGGCCTCCTGTATATATTCTTCAGTATATACGGTATACTAAGTGCATACTAGCATAATAGTAAATCCCCACCACTGTTCAATAGCACAGTAGGTGTACTGTGGAAAATGATCCAGTTTCACTTCATTGGTGCAACAGTAAAAGGCAGAACAGTTAAGACCTCCTCCAATATGTGGCAATAGATGGCTAATTATTCTTGATTTTTAAAAAAAAAGACTCAGAGCTGTCGAAGATTTTGATGCATCTTTTTTCAATTCCTGTCAGTATATCAGTGTTGTGTTCAACTTAACAGTTCCAGGATTGTAAAATATGTGCCATGGCTCAGGAAAAGTTGGGAAATACTACATACATACAGTACATCACTGACAGGTTTCAATCCCAAACTTCCCTGGAGGTTGCCGGTCCAAACTCCCTGCTCCTGTAAATCCGCAGAGTCTGAGCAAACTCTGAGGTACCCCTGGCAGTGAAAGAAATGTTTTGAGTTTTCTGTTTCAAGGTCAGCCTTCAAGGTTTGATTGAAAATAGAGTCAGTCTTGCGGAGACGTGCCATTGGTGGAGAGACAGCAGACAACCTTTTAAGTACTGGGACTACTTCATAATGAAACACTGTGTACCTTTGAGGCCCATTTCAGCTGGGAGTCAGTCAAGCTTAGCAGCTGAAGTGTTACACTGAAGGATTCTCTCCATAATTGTCATTTGAAACACCTCAGCTGAGGTGTGTGTGTGTGTGTGTGTGTGTGTCTGTCTCTGTGTGTGTTTTATAGAAGTACCGTACGTTCTTGTGTTCCTAAAAGTGTGAGCAATGGCTGTATGACCACAGAGGCCGACCTGAGTTCTTATAACAGATGCTTCATGGACCGTCACACATGGTTGAAACAGACTCATCCATGCATGAAATAGAGGCATCACTGCTGATTAGGCATTTGACATCATGTTTGGAAAAGTGGAAATTTTACATCAGCAAACAAAGATGAATCAGTGTTTTCTTCCACAATGTGGTCAATGTGAGGAGAAGTCAGTGTGAATGGGAGCAAAGACAGTGTTAGTGATTGTTGGCCGTCGCTTCTATGTCAGGATGTACTGCTAAATTGTACTTTTGGAGAAACAAACTCTTTTCTTTTAGTAATCTGCAAAAACGTTTTTATAATCTTACCTATGGTGCCCCTAGTGGATATACAATGAATCAATCTTTCAAAACTGGGCACACCTGAGAGTATGTGGGCAGTGGAAGGTGGAAAGTAGTAGAATCTCACATTTCACATACAACAATCTAACAATATAAGGTATACGCTACAGCAGGGCTTGCTTTCTATACACTGAAGCAATACTACACACTGAGCAAAATAATTTCAGTAAAATGTTCAAGAATAAACCCAAACTTTCACAGATGAATGTCTGCTATCATTTACAGAGATAAATAGAACTTTATTCATTCTCTGGGGGTCCCTCCCTAGTGGCATGCATTTACAGAGATAAATAGAACTTTATTAATTCTCTGGGGGTCCCTTCAGGAAATTAAGGAATTTAGTGGCAAAAACAGAAATTACAGTTGATTTGTTGTAATGTATGTAACAGAAGGATTGACATCAGTCTTTACCATACCCTGTACCAGGGTTTGGTGGGCCAGATTAGAAAGCCCAGTGGGCCGTATCTGGCCCACATTAAACATACAGTACAGTCTAAACCAGAGGTGCCCAAAAAATAGATATGGATCTACCAGTAGATCACAAACGGCTTGCTGGTAGATCATGAACAATTAGAAGAAAATAAAAATGTAAATATAGCTCAATAGTGTGTAATAGTGACCACTACTACTACTATAAGAACTGAGTCATTCTGTGCCATACAGCTGTATGTACACTTAGGATATAAATAACTGTACTTTGGTTCAGTCTTTGGTTCAGTCAGTGGTTCAGTCAGTGGTTCACTTTGTTGTTTTGTCTCCTCCTCTGTCTGTTGACAGCTCGAGTGTCACCACAGGAATAATGTTGAATGGACGTTAATGTTGATGGACGGTTAATGGTGTAATTAAGCACCAATTTGAGCGCTAATCGTTTTGCAATCACTCACACCTGACAGTATCACACTAACCTCTAGACATATAGATGCTAAAGATATCTCCCTTCTATTTCTGCTTCCTGTTTGTGTTTTCCTCCCAGATCTCCTCACTCCTCCACTTCTGTCTCAGCAGAGTCCCATCAGGCAGAGTGAAGACACTTGTGTTTGACTCTGCCAGAGTTCATGTGGAATGTGAGATGTTTCTCTCTCTCACCACACATACCCAAAACTCTTATCTTGTCATTGTTTTGGTGTTGGCTTTCTGTTCCACTTGTCCTTAATTATCAGTACCATGGTCGCCCCCTGCCGAAGGGCTTTATACGACAGCTCTTGGTGCTGTTGTCCCCCATTTTAAGAACCACTGTCCTAAGTCAAGTATAGAAAAAGTCTGAAGGGCATGTCAATGATACAGAGTTTGACAGTGGGTTCAAGATGACCGTGACTTAAGTCTGATTAATGATGAAGTTAGAAGGAGACAGAATCAAGGTCCATGTTGAAATACAGCCAAGACTCCAGCTAATATTAAATTTAAAAAAATCACACCCCTCTCTGCTCCATGTCATAAAGGTCAACATCTATGTCTGGTTATGAAATGTCACGAAATTCAGATTATTATGAAACCGTGTCCTTCATCACACAGAGTTTTCTGTTTAATCTGATAAATTCACAAAGTAAAAACGCATTTCCTTTTCCTTGATGCTGTCTTGTTAGGAAATGCCTTGTAGGTTGGTTTTAACTCTGAAGGTGACTGGTCCAAATTGAAGGTTCCGTTAAATAAATCATGTAGATCATACATCATGTCACTGAAGTGGACCGAGGGGTAAATATCAAGGAGACCTTAAATTACTCCAATAAAATCCAACTCTCACTTCCAGAGGAACTCTGAGCAAATTTACCAGAGACCTTTGAATAATTTAATAATTTAATGGATGAATGATCTTCTGACTGCAGACGTGGGCCGTTCCTCTGGAGAGGAGGAAAATCATCCTCTAGGTGAAAGACAAGTGAGTGAGGTGTACTGTCCGTGTCTTACATGAGCTCCTCTGTACTACTGCAGTACCCCAGTGTGTACAGTAGCTATTGCTAGGAGATTTGTTAATAAAAAGTTGACTTGAACAAATGGTGTCTGTACCTGGACGATGACGTTAATGTTAGCTCTGGTGTCTGCATCAGGATTGACTTACATTAGCTTGTGTGGCTCTATTAGGACTGTTGTAGCTAGCTGTAGCTCTGGTAGCTATACATCCCTTTCTGGCCTGCACATGCTCTAAGTACATTACTGCCACCTACTGGGCTAGTGTGTGTATAATGAACATTATTCTCACCATTTCTTTTTTGTCTGTAGAAAGTATGGTTCCACAAATGCTGTTACAAACAATAACCCTATGAGAAGATGAAGAAAGCACAATGCTCCCATTATTAGAGAAAGAGGAATAACATAGAGGAGTTGGTTTGGAAGGAGCTGCTGGAGGAGGAGATGGATTTAAAAGAGGAAGTAGTCAACATGG